CCCTCCCCCTTCTCAGGAAGTTCAGTGCCAAGGCCATCCTGGCAAGGAGGAGGAGGATGACTCCCTCCTAACTTTTAGTACAATGGGTGGGGAACATGAGAGACTGTGCATGGATGGTGAGAGCGAAAGGAAGAGGAGAGGGAGACAGACAGACAGACAGAGACAGAGAGACACACACTCTGTAGCCTGGTGGTTGGAGCACTCTCTTGGCAGGTGGGAGTCCCAGAATCCAGGCTCAACTTGGAGAATCTGAAAGAGCCACACAGTTGAATATCCCATACCCCTGTGGTTAGGATCTTGGTTCAACCCTTTCTCCCCCTCTTGTGGGACTTGAACCAGGGGCCTCCCGCATCCCAGATGAGGTCCCTAGCCAGCAGGGTAAAAATTATGAGAGACTGTGCTGTCCTTCTTTTCTCACTTGTTTTCTGTGAGGTTGCCAATGGGAGCCCAATCCAGTAGGTGAGCATGCTTACCGGATTGGGCTGAGCAGATGAGTTAGGTAGAGAAATGTCTATATTCCCCTGTTCCGTGCATCATGCTAGGGCCAAGGCATGCAGGTACCTAGAGTAATGCAGCAGTGTGTATGTGCAGAGGAACAAATATAGGGCATTTAGAGAACTTCCGTGTAAAAATTTAGGTGCCAGGCAAGTTTAGGCATTTACAGGGTTTGGCAACAGTTGTGCAGGAGGGATTGTGAATCCCAGCAGGCCTGATTCTGGGGTTTAGGCTTCTAAAAGAGCAGCTAGGCACCAAGTCCTTTTATGACTCCAACCCTGAGTGGCTCACAGTCACACCCATGTCTGCGGCAGAGCTGGGAATAGAGCCCAAGAGCCCCCATCATCTTCTGTGCCCACTAGACCGATTGGCCTGGATTTTCTGTTATGGCCGAGGAACGGTTTGTACCAGTCTGGAAAGTGGGAGACAAAGGTGGCTGAAAACCATGCTGCGTACACCTGAGGGAGTGTGAAAGAGGCTGCTCTCAGTCACTCCTGCCCGCGCAGTGCAGCAGTGTTTACTGTCAAAAGGACAAATCTTGTTTTTTAACCTCAGTTAGCAGCATGGGCATGTGACTGGCAACCCTTGAGATGGAAGTGAAAACCTATGACGTCAGGCAGGGATGCACACTTCAGCAATCACCTGTCACACACCAGCAGCACCATGGGGCTGGCACCCAGGGCCTTCCTTCTCCACAGTCTCTGTAAAGGGGCCATTCATTGCATGGAAGCTGAAGTGCCTTCCTTCTCTGTGCAGTACCATGGGTGCCACTGCCTTGGCAGTTCCATGGAGAAGCAGAAGGCTTCCATCTCCAGGGCTGAGTTTTTTAGCATGTTTCAACACATTGTCCAAGTTGGAAACCAGGTGTGAAATCTGGGCCCCATTGAATCCAATGATCATTTTTTTTATCCAGTGGAGTCAGGAACTCTACGTATGGTCCCCATGCCACCGAAAAAATTTAAATAGCTGTTACATATAGAGCCCCTGAGGTTCTCTATGCTCAGTAGCCACCGTCAACCCACATATTCCATCTCCAACTTTATGCCAGTGTAGATACGTTTACAACTCCACTGCGAGCACAGCTGTTAGCTCTTCTGCGCATGCTGCCGTCTTCATGCTTTGGAGAAGAGGAAGAGTAGCAGACGGGACAATATTCTGAATTGTACAAACCCGTTTTGTTCGTTTTTTCCCCCTCCTTACTGCAAAATGTGCTGATGAGGTTGCTGGGAGTCATAAGACTCCATAATATAATGTGTTGTTGACGATTTTACTCAATGGTCATCAGCTGCATAAAATATGTGGACTGAACATGCTTGGAGCTAGTGTGGAGGCAGGATGAGGAGGCAGCATGAGGACATTAGCAGGAAATGAAGGCCGTGCTCTGTCATGATGTCAGAGAAATAAAATGTGAAGAACACAATAAAGGTAATGTTACTGGAAAGGGAGAGGTTTTGTTTTTGTTGGCACACGTAATTATATTACCAACAATGGGTGCAGTGTTGTCTTACAAGAAAGGCAAGTGGAGCTGTGTAGATGACTGTTAAAGGCTCTACAAATCAGTCAGCATCTTTGAGATTTGCAGGCCCGCCGACGGTGGGGACAAAAGTGGCAGTTGCCTCAGGGCCCAGCGATTCAAAGGGGCTCAGGGCTCTGGCTGCTGCCACTGCTGAAGTTGCAGCAGGGCTGGCTGGATCCCTGAGCCCCTTTAAATCGCATCCAGAGCGCCGTGCTGCATGTTCTGGGCAGCGCTAAGGACTGAGGGGAGTGTCCTACACCCCAGGCAGTGCTGAGGGCTGTCTGCCCTCAGCCCTACCCCTTCCATTGGTGGCCTGCCCCTTGAAGTAGCATGGAGCTGTCGTCACCCGCACCCCTTGCTGTTAGCTCCGTTGAGATAAGTATTAGGAGAAATTATTTCCCAAAATGCTAGAGAAAAGATAGAAATCAGGAACACTTCACTGCCAGACTAGCGAAGAGAAATGGAAGACTGAAAACAAAGCTGTGTGGGAGTATGCATGTGTGCACTGTACATAGAACATGTTGTGTACTAAAAATAAGGAAAAAAGGAACTGTGGACTTGGGGTTCAGCTAAAGGTTCTATATATTAACTCTTGTCAGTGGGGTTTCCTTCCTTTTCCCCCCAAGTGATAAGAAACTTAAGATATTGGACATCACAATAAAATAATGCTTCCTTTTTTTTAACCTAACGTTCCCTTCTCACCCAGAAATGCTCAGGCAGGTGCTGTGTCATCTCCGAACATAAGTATCTCAAGGCATGGAACAAAATATAGCTTTGGGGCTTTATGCATCGTACACTCTGTATCTGACATGTTTTATGGGTAGTGCATGTTATTTGACTACACAGCTATGTTAACTGATAAAGAAATGTCTCAAAGCCACAAAACTGAAGAAACTGTGGAGTGGAGAAAACAACTGGGCTGATACAGCGTAAATAATACATGATGTAAGTTTTTTCAAAAACCAGCAACAGAGGGAAAGGTACATTGACCTTAGGAATGAGAGTTTTATAGATGTATTTATTTACAATCCTGGCTAACAGACCTCTCATGCCTAGGTTTACCAGGACTAAAAGGTGATCCAGGAGAGAGAGGAGATAAAGGAGACCCTGGTGAACTGGGCATACCTGGCAAAGACGGGATGCCAGGAGTAAAAGGTTCAAGAGGAGCAAAGGGTGACAAAGGGGATGCAAACAATGACGTGCTGTCTGAAGGTAGGGGGAAGCACTTCTGCAGCACAGAAATATACAACACAATAAAACAGGCTACCCTTTGCGAGTGCTGTGGTGTTTTGAAGCCAGCTGGTAGAGCTACTCTTGGGGTTGTGCTCTCTAGTCTAGTGTGGTTCCCCACAAAAGCCTTTTTACTCAGGCTTGGGGTGGAGAGATGTGTGAATTTCATCCTTGCCCAGCGCATTTTCACATGGCAAATTTCCTCCTACTCTCTTCCAGTGCTGTTTTTTTTCCCTATTAGAAAATGACACACAGATTTCCACCCAGGAATGCATGGGGGAGGAGCATTGGCAGCTACAAATAAATGCTCCTAAAATTATAGCACTGTAGCTTCTGTTGCTGAGTGCTCAGAAAACAAAGTTATGCAAGACAGCGCTGCTTCAAGTCACGCCCCGTGTCCGCTCCATTCTTGCTGTGCCTCAGACACAGAGAGGACCTGGAAACCCCATTTATTTGTGACAGTGGAGAAGAAGCACCAGGCTTCTTTAAAAAACTGCGTGCAATTAAAATCGGTGTCTGTCAAGAACGGACAGGCCACTGCAAAGCACAAGCAAACAGGGAACTATTGATAACAAATAGCTGAAAAGGTTTGCTGCATTCCCATTTGCTCCCTTATAAACACAAATGGGGAAGAGGTGTCTGGGAATAGACAAGCATTCAGCTTGTTATTCCTGCCATGAATACCCTGGCGGTATGGAACGTAAACCACCCCGTACCAACTACAGCAGGTATCTGTGCTGGGGTCATATCCAGGCAGCGAAGGGGCTTTGTGGTAGTTTGCAACAGGTTGTAGGGCCCCAGTGATCAGGCCCTGATTCCTCATAATCCTCTGAGGTCTTGGAATGCCCTGCTGGGGATGCCTCCCATGGGTAGAAACACAGAGGCCACCTCAACGAGTAAATGGCCGTTTTTGTTCCTGCGGGCCTCTCTCAGTGGATGAGATCCAATGCATACAATCTCCCTTGCTGCGGGGAGGCCCATTCACTTGCAGCAGTTATCAGCCTCTTCTGTTTTCTCCGTAGGTGCCAAGGGGGAGCCAGGATCTCCAGGGCCACCAGGGCCCCCAGGGCCACAAGGTCCACCCGGGCCACCGGGGAAGCGCAAAGCAAAATCCCAGGTTAATGAGAACATGTACAGCAGCAAGTGCACAGGTCAGTGTCGGTTTCTGGTGTAGCCGGCATTATTCTCATTCTTGCCTTTATAGCAGGTGCAGGGGTTACACCTGCTGTAGGGCTCTGCTCTCCACGAATTTGAAGTTTAGCATTTCCTTAAGAATATACAATTTGGCCCTCCCTAGTCTGGCACCCTTGGGACCTGACCAGTCCTGAACAATGGAGTTTGGCTCCCGGCCCCAGCAGGGCTGCCACCCTGTTCCTGCTGGCCCGACAGGGCTTCCAGATGCCGGCTGCCAGCCTGAGAGGGCTCCCAGCCCCAGTCCCACCAGGCAGGCTCCTACCTGCCAGCCCTCCTGCTGCAGAGACTTTCTGGTCTCTGTGTCCGCCGGGCCATTTCTGTGCGCCCACCAACTGATCAGGGCCGGCCCTGCCCCCGGGCGTGCAACACAGGGGCAGCACCAGCCCTGGGCATACAGCACATGGGCAGCCCCGCCCCCAGGTGCGCATGGGCTGTGCTGGCCCCGGGAGCGTAGCGTATGGGCTTCCCCGCCCCTGGGTACGTGGCACAGGAGCGGTGCTGGCCCCAGGCGCACGGCGCATGGGTGCTGCCAGCTTCTGGGCGTGTGGCACAGGAGTGGCGCCGGCCCTGGGAGTGCGGCTCATGGGTGGCGCTGGCACCAGGCATATGGCGTGTGCGCAGCCCTGCCCCTGGGCACATGTGTGGCCCCACCCTCGGGCGCATGAAAGGCCCCATCCCTGGGCTCCCGGCAGCCCCAAAAGGTTGGGGACCACTGTTGTAATGCTTTAAAGCTTGCAAAAAGCATTGTCTAAATCACAGATGTGTGGACTCAAGCGAGATACGGGCTGGTGGGGACTCTACCACTGAAAGTGCTAACAGCTTTCTGAGCGGTATCCTTCCTGTCTCAGCAATCTATCTATTGACTTTGATCTTTATCTGCTTAGGTTTAAGTATCCATTCTCCAGCTACTTAATGATGCCTTGTTTCCCCTCCGCCACTCTATCTTCCTTCTTTTTTCCTTTCTCTTCCCTGCTCCTATTTATTTCCTGTTTTCGTATCCCCTACTCATAACTCCGGTTATCTGAAGAAGTGGGCTGTGCCATCTACATGTTTTGTTAGTCTATAAAGTGCTACCAGACCATTTGTTGTACTTCATGCTGTTCGTTTATTCTCCTGGCCACTCTTGTTCTCTGTCCGTAGGGTTTGGTTGTGCCAGGACAATGGGATGTGCGTGGAATGCTATTGTTTCTCAGGGTATGTCTACACTACAGCACTAATTCGAACTAACTTAATTCGAATTAGTTAATTCGAACTAAGCTAATTCGAATTAGTGCATCTAGACCTAAAAACTATTTCGAATTAGCATTTTGCTAATTCGAACTAGCATGTCCACATTGAGTGGACCCTGAACTGAGGTTAAGGATGGCTGGAAGCAGTGCCAGCAGGGCATCAGATTAGTACAGGCAGTCCCCGGGTAACGTACAAGATAGGGACTATAGGTTTGTTCTTAAGTTGAATTTGTATGTAAGTCAGAACTGGCTCCAGATTCAGCCGCTGCTGCTGAAACTGACCAGGGGCTGACTACAGGAATTGCACTGCCCCCAGCTTCCTGGAATCAGCCACTGATCAGTTTCAACAGTGGCTGAATCTCGAGCCTGGGACAGAACAGCTGGGCTGCCAGGTAGGTCCCTGCAGGACCAACCCGGCAGCACCCCAGCTGCTCTACCCCAGGGTCCACAACAAAAGCCTGGTCTGCTGGGGGGGGGCGGGG